CTCTACTGATGGGCCTCCGCCGCCGGGGGCGGTAGGCTGAGGCGGCGGAGACAGCTCACGCGCCGGAGACGTCTCAGGCAGCTGAGACGGCTGAGCTGGACTATGAGGAGTCTGCTGAGGGGCCTCCTCCAGCTGAGTCTGCTGAGGCGGCATCTAGTTTGGAAGCTTCAAGTTCTCCTTTATCCATAGACAGGTACTCCTTAATGCACTTTCCAGAAGAACATCCCCTTCGCTTATAGGGTAGTCAAGCTCCAGCCCCTCAAATCCCTCCATTATTTCATCCAGCGTGACAATAGCATAGCCATGTGGAATCGCATGGCAATGGAAAGTTCCCTCAGCTTGAGGAGGTAAAACAGAGCCGACTGCAGCCTTCAAGGTCAGTTTCTGGCATTTCACCATTAGCACACAATGTTCAGTCTCCGTGATACTATCCACGGGGTAGCGAGGAGCCATGAAATCAGGCTGAACGAGCTCCGTGGAATCCAAACTGCTTCTCCGCTGAGATGGTGGGGTAGCTTCGGGGGCAGTGTCGAAGGAAGGATCTTCGTGCCGCTGAGATGGTTGGCCGGTAGCTTACTGGCTCTCAAGTTCCTCTAGTTTCGCTAATCTTGCATTGATCTTATGCATTTCGCTTCCTTCGACTTTCTTCTTTTTCTGTTGGCTTCTATAACCACCGCTGTCGGGAAACCCATGCACCCACAGAACGGAGCCTGATGTGCCTCGTGTCCGTCCAGGGTGTACATGATTCCCGAGGGCCTCTGTCAGCTCGTCCTTCTCTCTATCGGGAATGAATGTCCCTTCTTGTGATGCCTTGATTGCATCCTCAAGCTTCGTCATGGGTATTGCAAGTTGATCATTCGTCCAGACACACTTCCCTGATTCTGGGTCCAAAGTTCCTCCAACCCCGAAGAACCAAGTCCTTGCTCGATCTGGGCCGTCCCCCGACCGGTTGGGGGCCCCCACGCCGTGCCCCCCGACCTGGCGGCGTCCGCCACCCCGTGACCCTCGC